CCGTCCCCCCCGGCGCGGGCTCGGGCTGCGATGGGATTAGTCTCAACCGCCGCCGGGCACGGTGAATGACTCCGGCAGCCCTGGAGGGTTGGATGCCGCAGCCTCAGCGCCCCCCTCGCTGTTCGGGGGGCAAGCCAGGTAAACCCTGCACCTCGCGTCCGGGGGTGCGCGGCTCCGGCCCGCGGGGCGTTGCAATGATGCCGTGGGACCGAGACAGAAGCCTGGGGTCTCTGAGGGGAGCACTTTGCAGTGCGCCGCTGGGAGCCAGGCTGCACGCGCCATGTGGGATAAAGCAGTTGCATTATTTTAACCTCCCGGAGGGGCGGACGGAAAGGCTGAATCCAAACCTGTGCCCCTCGTTGCCCCTGCGAATCCTCATGGGTGCAGCGAACGGGGCGTTACAGGTTCTGCAGCGTGTAGGGGAAATGTAGCATGTGTGATCTAGCAATCGCTACAAGCTAATGCTGCCGTTAAGGCTGCAAAATGGTTTCCTTGTGTACCCCCGTTATCAGCATTGATTGTATGATTTTTGCCTACTGCAGTCCTTTCCAATTCATTCTTTTCGTGGTTACTAGCTACATCAAATGATTGAAGTAAGTGGGCAGGGGTATGTAGCGCCTATGAATATACATCAGAAAGAGGAGGAAGAAATCCCTCGTATTTAAGGTCAAATGTTACCTACTTGATGAATTTATTCTGCTGCCATTGTGCTTCTATGCCTGATACTTCAGGCTTCCTAAGAAGGAATTGGGTGGCAGAAAGGAGTCAAATTTGAATATTGAACATACATAATAAAGCATGATGTGGTTTTATCTGTTTCTTTGTACAGTGGCTTTTACCTTCAAAAGGCCAGTGGCTTATAAACTATTAAAAAATCATATGCTTTACCCCAGACAAGCCATAGTAGGTGTAGTAGATTGAGGATCTGCTTATTTGTTAGCATTGAGGATTAGAGGTTGGCCCAGTGAAGTGCTTATTTCTGGTGTGACTAATGAGAATGAAGTTTAATGCAGGATTGTTCTTCCAGCAAGAGAAAAAGCATGCAAGTATCCTTTTGTGTTGACTCCAGCAGGGGAAAGATACAAAACTGACAGGAATGCATTGCTTAGTTTGAGAACACACAATGCAGTTCAATTAATATGCTGACATACAACCTATACTCATTTTCTACTTCCAGGTTATAGCAAGAAGGGATTTTGCATGTAAAGTAGATTTATTTTGTATTACTTTTTTGATCCAGAAACAATCATATAAACAGTTATTGGGAATAGTAGTGCAGTTCTGCTTACTTTCAAGGCAAACAGATGTGCCTGGTTGTAGTTATCTTATTAAAGGCAGCATATCTCAGGGTAAAGATTTTTGCTGTTTCTTCTCATTATTGACTGAGTGTCAGCCATTTTTGATGCACTTGTGAGTTTAATATCCACATAGGTGTTGCTGTAATAATTTGCATTTCTAAAAGAAAGGATTTTTGTTTGGTTTATTAGTGCACATTGTCTAATGCAGGCTTGAGCACATAAGGCTCAAGTGCATAGGGTTTGTGTAATTGGGTTCAGTAGTAACTTAGCAGAGCAAAGCTAATTGAAGTGGGCTTCTTTTTTATCATGCAGAAAGATTAGTCAATCAAACTTCATAGTAATCCCAATTGAGCCATTACACACTGACACCATTTTAAAATATTTTTCTTTCTTTCTAAACCCACTGTGCAAATGAACTATAAAAGAGTTTTTGGTGTGTGTGTGTGTGTATATATATGTTGGTATGTTATATGCACACACAATTAATGGAACATTTTGGGCTCTATACTATAATATATTGCTTGCACACCTAAAACTTATGACTTCTGTGACAGTCTTTAGGATACAGAGCTCAAGCTCCTTTTGTGTGATATGCTTTTAAAATCAGGTAGAGTTTTTTAAAAAATTGCTAGTAAATGTAAGATTCAAAGGGGTACATTTAGCTGTACACCTTATTTTAGGTGAAATCATTAGATTCTTGGCACCTCTTCCAATAAACTTTTTACATAAGTAATTGGAGAAACTTTGAGGACTGTGATTACTCATTTACAATTGTCATCATGCTGCTGAATTTTCTCATATGGGTTCATTTAAAGGGAGCAGAATAAGAGAGCTGATATTTGACTCTTAACTGGCCTGGCTTATTTAATAATGTTGGTAGCAGTGTTTTCTCCCTGACTAAACTGATTCATATCTGAATATTGAAATGCCATTATTTACGTTTCATTTAAAAGAAAGTGATCAAATTACAAATAGACCCCCTGTGGATCAAAAGTGGCTATTTTTATAGGCGGTGCTAGGGCCTTTTAAAATCCTTCCTCTAATTCACTCCTGAATAGCCTCTGAGGGGCTGTTAAATAGCTGAGGATCTGCTAAGCAACACACGTGCTGGGCACATGCTTTCCCCCCAAAATGTACTATGCTAAGAATTTAAGGGTAGCATAAAGTCAGATCCACTTGCTCTTTACCATCTTGATTTTCCTTATCTGGATATTTAAAACAACTTTGTTTTGGCTCCAGCACCACAAAGCATCCTTAAAGCTATCTTAATAGGGCCAAGGATATTTTAAAAATAAGCTTCCTTACCTATGTTGCTCCTGGTTTATCAAAACAAAAAATATTTTGCACAACTATTTATTCATTATTTATGCAGTTTACATATATTTCTTTCAGTCTGGATAATTCCATCTTGAATGCAGCTTCTGTTTCAGTTAATAGTCCTTACCAGTTCCTATGCAATAACTAACGTGATGCAGGAAAGCCAAGTTGCAGACACTGGAAGGAAATGTTTATTTAAAAAAGCTCTTTATATTGCTCTAGAGAAGTAATGGAAATATTTCTATTGGACTTACATTATGTAAAAGCTGATTTTCTTCCTGACACATGTATTGTGCCAGAATCACAGGGAAATATCTTTAAAATAATGGCTTCCATTTAACTTATCACAGTTAATCAGAATATGTAACTAGGAAATAGCTGTTTTGATTAATATTATACATCCTTATAAATAGGAAACCAGTGATTCGGTATTTCTCAATTGCTAGTATTACTAGCTGATTTTACTGTTCCTTACCTTCCTGGAGGCTGGCTGTGTATAGTGAATGTAATGCATTCAGTTCTGAAAGAGAAGAGGCTAATTTCCATATATTGTACCATCTGTCCACCTCAATGTAGTGGTATATGTTGCATTAACTATAATTAGACATTTTTTGTTACCTGCTGTAAATGTTCCTATTGATTACCTAATTTATCTCTTTCATCTAATTTCTCCCTTTTGAGAAATTAAATGCTCAATTCACAAGTCACTTACTACTGAGTGCAGGGCTTATTCTTATGAGAGAGGCCTTATTGATTTTAATAGGAGAAATCTCATTGGGACTATTCAGGGTAGTAAGCAGTATTTTCAGAAAAACTTGCGGGAATGGGTCCTAAATCAAGAACACTTTAATTTTGGATTCTAAAATATTGATTATAAACCTGGATCCTTTTACAGGTAGAGTTGGGGTGGCTAGAGGCATTGGTTTATGTGCTTTCAGTAACAAATCTTGGGTATAAAGTGATTTGACTTGAGATGTCAGAGTGTTGTTCTCATGCTTGTGAGCTACTTTAGACAGCTTGAATGCCAGTTTCAGAGCATATTGTCAAAATCCAAAACTCGTTGGATGTTATGTAATTAGATTTCACCAACCAAGTATAAACTCTTCAAGCACTATAAGAGCCTGAAGATGGAGTCATAGAAAGTCCCGTGCTGGGCACTCCATTCACTCTTGCCAACCAGGCAAGCCTGCCTTTGTGTCCCTAGCACCAAAAATCAAAACAAATATTCAGGTTACTCCCAGTTTCCAAAGACCAAAGATAATAGTTTGCTCCTAGGCATTTTCTGTGCCACTGTAAAATGCAGAATTAATGGTCTGTACAGAATTTCACTTTTTCCCCTGAAAAATTAGTACTGCCAAGCTTCTGACAACCACTAGGCTTGGCATAGCTTGGCTCCCCGGCTCGCAAAGAGAGGACATAGCCTGTGGGGAGTGAGGGGAGAGTTGGAGCACTTATACCAGCTGCAGTTCCAGTATAAGCTGAATGAAGGAGGTGCAGGAAACGTCATACAAGCCCTGTCTGACCAACAACAGGCTGTTTCTACCTCTGAATCCCTGGACTCAGGAGGTGTGGGTGTCTGGCCCTACAACTGGACTTTGTGGAGAGAGTTTGAGCCGGGAGACCCCATGCAGCCCCCTCCAACTCCTTACATGCATCCTTCCAGTACATACACATCCATGTACCCCCACCCAAATATCCCTTTGAGCACCCTCAGGTGTCCCTGCGAAGCTCCCAGTGCTCCTCCTCCCTGGCAATATCTTCTGCTTAGAAACCTTTATATGGTAACCCTATGGGAGGGAGAGCCAAAAAACAAGAAGACCGGAGGGGCAGAGTTTTCCCCAGGATGTGCCCAAATTGAGTGTGTGATACATCTGGACTGAGGTGCCCAACAAAAACGTAACACAGAAGTAAGAATGGGATTGTTGTAGAGGTTTCTTTAAGATTCTGTTCCTGAGGGAATTTTTTTTTATTGTTACATCCATACTTGCTGACAGGTGTTTTGAAAATAATTGAAACTGTGTGATTATATTGTATTTTGACACACAAAATATCCTAGACTTTTAAAGTAGTGTATGCAAAACTTGTATTTTTGGTTCAGAATTCCCCAAGAGTAAATGCTTATAGTTTAGTACAGGATAGGCTAACTAAAAATCTGTTAACTAAGAAAAAGAATTAACATCTTACTAAAAATAGTAGTTGTTAGATATGCAAACCCTGTATGTCCTTAAGGGCTAACTCAAAATAAGTATCTTGGGGGTCCCTTGCTTATGCTCTCTCAAATTATGTTGCCCCCTCGATATTCTAAGCAGTATAGTGATGATTTTTCTTGACAGGGGTTTTTGTTTACTTCCCTCAGACTTTAAACTGATGGGATATGGGTTTGTGCATGTCTCCACTTCGCAGGTGTGGGGGAGCAAGTAAGAAAAGTCTGTACACTGATGTTCCATAATGGTTTGTCTAGTGTTGTTGGGCATGAAATTACACCTCTTGTAGTAAACTAATACTTCACATTTGGTAGTTATG